TAGTTATAGCCATGTTTATTCGGCTAATCAGGCCTTCAACTCTGACGTGTCTATATAAAGAAGATGATGTCCCAAAAATCCATCCAGAGTAGGGATGAAAATGGAGCGGAAACGGACGGAACTGAGTGCTATCATATTTGTTTTCATATTTTTTTGCAGAAGCGGAAACGAATACAGAAATCCCGGAAATGAATACGGAAACAGATACTACCGGAAACGGACATGGAGCGAATACAAAGAGGATACGGAAACAGAAATAGGCATTGATCGGAACTTAAAAACCCCTTGAATCATAGAGAAATACACACAAAAACAAACAAATTTAATGAGTTGTCAACATGGCTACAAAATAATATCATTATGTTAGCAACTTAGCATAGTATTGTAGTAGTACCGGACAATTGCATATAGGGTCAAGCTGAGTACATGTGTGGTAGTAGAAGTTGAGCCTTAGATCTATTCTACTAATTATGTCATTGTGTTCTCTTTGGTGGTTGGGCTATGAAGCAGCTATAGGTCTATAGTAAAAACAGAAATTCCATATTCACGGAAACGGAAAGTTTCATTTCCATGCATGTCCCACCGGAAAACACCGTTTTGTTTTTGTTTCCGTTTCCGCATAAAAAATTCCATTTCTACTTCCGTTTTGCAAATTTCCGTTTCCGTTTTCATATTTTCTCTCCGTTTCCATTTTTCCTCCGGAAAAACGGAAAGTTTCCACTCCATTTTCATCCCTAATCCAGAGTTCCAAACCATGATCCTCTTGCATGAAGACGAATTAATACATCAATCTCGTGCTTTTGAACCAGTACATCTATACCAATATAAAAAGACCAAAAGGAGCAGATCCAACTGATCTCGCCCATCGAACTAAGTCAATCCAATGACCTAGACTGCTCCAATGGCTAGCGTTAAACGTGTTTAACGTGTAATTAATGTCATACCAAATATTGAACTAATCATATAATAAACACACAAATAATAGCATACCTAATATCCACAAGCAATTAATATATTACCTAAATATACCAATATAAAAAGACCCAAAGGATCATATCCAACTGATTTCGGCCATCGAACTAAGTCAATCCAACGACCTAGACTGCTCCAATGACGAGCGTTAAACGTGTTTAACGTACAATTAATATCATACCAAATATTGAACTAATCATAGAATAAACACACAAATAATAGCATATACCTAATATCCGTGTGCAATCAATATATTGCCTAAATATTAACGTGCGTTGCACGTGCGCATTTACTAGTGAAGAATAAGGTATTCAGAAGTTATCATGTATTTGATCAGCCCCATTTTGATCAATTATTTTCTCATTCAAAAGCCAGGGCAAAAAAGCAACTTGATCATCATTATTTTTTTACTTCTTTTTTTTTCAAATTAACTCCCGCTTCCCCAGTGTACATAGATTGAACACCACACAAATTGATCAGTGAGGAATCTTTGGCCGAACACCGGAGTTGCCGTGGGCACGTTCATCAATGAATTTGAGTTTGACCGAAATATCCACCACTGTATGATATTTGGGGTCAATATTATAGACGCATGTGTCCGACCACAGTTAAATACATCGACCAGACATACGCAACAGTTTCACATTAAACCACGGATGTATCGAATTGCATAGATGTGGCCATACATTACTACTGATGGATATATTATTTTGCAGGCCTTCTTTGCTCCTTTCTCTCCTAGACCCGCTACAAAAGTGGTCAACATCCACATGAGACAGCGCACACAAGATATGATTGTCAACGCAGGATGCTAGGATGAAGTATGCGCTTCTTAGCTTAACTATTCAACTTTTTTTTTTGAAACAAGATTAACTATTCAAAATAGACCCTTGGCAAGTCTTCTTGTCTCTGTACTACGTGTAGAAACATAACTAGAAGAATTTATAGGACGAAACTTTCTTTCAAAATGCATGTCCACTATCAATACAAGGCCAAGGATCGACAAACATTCCTTTGGTTTTATTTTGTATAATGAGTGTGATGTACCAATCTGAGCCGCTGAGAAATGAAGGATGGAAATGACTCAGCCTCTAAAATATTCCCCTCCACAATAAATAAAATCATGTTTATACATATTGGTATTTAAAAATGTGGTACAAGTGCATATACTGCGCAATCTGCTTTACTACAGATTTCCATGACTCTTTGGTGACATAAGCTCTCTATAAGTTATATATGTGTTCTCCTATTTGCACTTTTTAAAGTTATGATGTCGTTTAATTCAAAATTATTTGGCTCACATGAGTAACAAGCATTGTTCATTTACGCTCAGTTAACTGGAAGGATATCAAGTGTCAAGAATGATCATAAATATATGTGCCCCCTTACTACTTTTTTCAAGAACGGGGTTATTTATCAATAAAAACTTATGATTAAGGGAAAATATTTTTTGCAAATAGTAGTTCTCCAAAATAAAATACTACATCATATCACTAAGAGGTGATGTTGTTCTTATTCGTTTCATAAAGGACTAACAACGACAACGTGACTATTCGGAGATAGTTAGTGTTCAAATCCATGTATGCATGAAGGAATGCTGGGATTTCTAATTATCAGTGTTCATAAAATTAAAATAGAAACAATATACATATATGCAGGTAGCAGCTTATCTCAAAGCATATATCTTTAAACACCAAATTTAGTTCATCGATTAGTCAAACGTACGGAAAACTTACTCATAGAAATACACCCCTTATGAATTACTATCTTCTATAATATGGATTCTAAAATAATAGCAAATACCTAGCCCGTGCAAACGCATGGCTTCGCGACTAGTTTTATTAACAGATCAAGTGGGGCCTTATATTTTACATGCTTAAGTTTTACTTTGAAGTTTTGAAGAGCTTACTTGACTACTTTTTGTCCAAGAAGAAGGCTAAGGTTGCCAGGAGCAGGGGCAGGGCCAATTGAGTCAATCCCCGGGCCCTAGGCTTGCTACAGTGTTTCTACATTGTCCATGATGGTACAGTGAACAAAGTATTTATTCTTCACGTCCCAGCCCCCCGTACAGTGAACAAAGTATTTATTCTTCACGTCCCAGCCCCC